ACTTGTGTTTTAATTTCCAGTCCTGTCTGGTAGTTGCTTATTATATTAAATGCATTGGATGTAGAGATGCTCAGACCTCCTGCAAAATCAAATAACTAGAGGTTATATAATATAACCTCTATATATAATATAATGCAAATAATAACAGCCAATTATTTAACACAGTCAAATCCCATTGCCTTATTTATGTAGAGAGACCCACTGAAATCTGGAATAAATTGGTAAAGTCACCTTACCCTTCTTACCTGGAAGGTATAACACATAGAAATAGACAAGCCCAGATACTTTACACTAGTGTTCATGTTATTGCAAATAATAATGCCTAGATGTTGTTGTGCACTTTTTCATACTGCTTCCATTCTTTTAATTTTGCTACTTAAAATATAAGTGAACATGCAGCTGAAAGATATTTAAATCTTGGCAGTAAGGATAGTTTATTAGAACTGTGTTTGTATTGAGGAACTCTCACTGTGTTTCGGAGCTAATTATACAAATGATCATTTGCTGAGAAGAACATATATTAGAATTGGGGTTTTTATTATTAGCATTAGGTGGCCATTTGCTTTCTAGTTTTTATTGGACTTTCTGCATCAGAAGCTTTCCGGATCAAATCTGTATTAATCAGTTTTAAACCTCTTACATGGAAATTTTTATTTTGGCTTTCTGCCTGATCCTTTGGTTCAGATTGTTTGCATATTGGGCACATTGGGTTTTTAACATCTTCTGTACATCTTCTGTACCTCTTCTGGAGTGGCACAAAAGTATGTAATAGTAGGAAATTAATTCTGTTTCTATATTTTTCTATAGTATTTCCTTAATTAACAATCTGTGTGTGTACTCATGTAAGTATCTTGTATTCCACTACTATAACTGAAAGCACATTTCAAGTGCCTGCCAAAATACATTTTTGGTCTCGTACTTCATCTCATTAGGTGAGGAAGGAGAGGTGGCGGGGTGTCTTTGTACAGTATAGAGCTCAAGGATAGTGATGTCATAAGTTTGAGTCCTGATGAGAAGGAATCAAGAGATGTAGCTATGATATTTTATGAAAAAATCTTTTGCTAGGATTTTTCCCTCCTGGGAAGCTGAAGAGCCTCAGGAGAGAAATATAAACAATAACTGTCTGCTGCTGTGGAATGCAACAGGTGCTCCTTGCATTAGTCCATGTGGATTGTTTTCACTTGATGACCAATCACAGCCACTTGTGTCGAGGCTGTGAGCAGTCACAAGATTTTGTTATGCATTCTATTCCTGTTCTGTCTAGCCTTCTGATCAATCTTTTCTCTCTATTCTTTTAGTATAGTTATAATGTAGTATTTTAATATAATATATATCATAAAATAATAAACCAGCCTTCTGAGAACATAAAGTCAATCCTCGTGTCTCCACACATAAAACACCAGACATGACAAAGGGGATGGCCAACAAGGCAGATATCTTGCTGGCAGCCTGTTCAAGAGCACCTAACCAGGATGAAGAGGTAGACAAAGCATTCTACAGGCAACTGGAGGATATCTCATGATCAGTGGCCCTTGTTATTGCGTGAGACTTTGCTTTAACTTGCTGAATCTCTGCTGAAAATTCAACATAGCAGAGAAGAGGCATTCTAGTAGGTTCCTGAACCATGTGGAACACAATTTCCTCACACAGATGGTGTGTGTGAGCCAGTGAGGGCTCTCTTGACCTGCTGTTTGTGAATAGAGAAGGACTGGCGGTGATGTGGTGGTCAGAGGCTGTCTTGGGCATAGTGACCACAAAATGATAGCTTTCAATCCTTGGTGAAGGAAGAGAAGATTTAGAGGAATCAGCTAAACTTCTGTCTTGGCTTACCAGAGGGCAGACTTTGGCCACTTCAGGACAATGGTTCAGAGAGTCCCTTGGGAAACAATCCTTGATAACAAAGGGATCCAATAAGGCTGAACGTACTTTAAGAAGTAAATTTTAAAGGCACAAGGGCAGCTCATCCCTATTTGCCAAAAGATGAGCTGGAGGGGGCACGGAAAAAGAAGACTGGCCTGGCTGTATAGGGGGCTTTTCCTGGAGCTCAAGCTAAAAAGGAGATTTTATGACCTTTGGAAGAAGGTAACTTGGGAAGTGTATAGGGATGTCATTAGGTCATGTAGACTGAAAATTAGAAAGGCAAAAGCTGAGCGAGAACTCAATCTGGTGAGTTTAATTATCCTGTGAAAGATAATTAAAAGGGTTCTTAAAAAAAAAAAAAAACAAAACAAAACCAAATCAAACCAAAACAAAACAAAAAAACCCATTAAAAAACCCCAAAAAACAACAAAAGGAGGACCAAGGAAAATCTCCATACCTTATTGGATGCAGAGGGAAACATTGTACCTAAAGATGAGAAAAAGGTAGTTAATGCCTGCCTTGGGTCAACCTTTAACAAGAAGACAGTTATTATCAAGGCAACCAGCCCTCTGAGCTGGTAGGCAAGGACAAGGAGCAGAATTGAGCCCCGTTCCAGAAGTTAGTTAGTGACCTACTGAGCTGCTTAGACATCAAAAGTGTAGAGGGCCAGATGGAATCCACACAAGGATACTGAGGGGGCTGGTGGAAGAGCTCACTGAGCCACATTCCCTCATTTACCAATGGCCCTGGCTAACCTGGGAGGTCCCAGGTGACTTGAGTGGAGATTGACCAATGTGACACCTATCTACAAGAAGGGTTGGAAGAGGTTCTGGGCAGCTGCTGGCCTGACGTTGGTGCCTGGCACGGTTATGGAACAGATCATCTTGAGTGCTACAGTGCAATCACGTGGCATGTGCAGGACAGCCAAGGGATCAGGCCCATCCAGCATGGTGTCAGAGTGGCCAACCTGATCTCCTTCTATGACCAGGTGACTTGCTTGGTGGATGAAGGAAAGGCTGTGGGTGTTGTCTACCTGGACTTTAGTAAAGTCTTTCATATTGTCTCCACTGCCATTCTCCTGGAAAAGCTGGCAGTCCATGGCTTGGACAAGTGCTCTGTTCACTGCCTGGTAAAATCTGCCTGGATGGCTGGGCCCAGTGGGTGGTGGTGAGTGGAGCTACATCCAGCTGGTGGCTGGTCACGGGTCGGGTTCCCAGGGCTCAGTATTGGGGGCATTTCTGTTTAATATCTTTATCAATGATCTGGACGAGGGGATTGAGTGTGTATCCTCAGTGCTGCAGACAGCACCAAGCTGGGTATGAGTGTTGGTCTGTTGGAGGGCACAAAAGGAGGGATCTTGACAGGCTGGATTGATGGACTGAGGCCAGTGGCCTGAGGTTCATCAAGACCTGGGTTGTTGGTTCATAGCTGGGCCAGGTGGCAGAGCACTGCCTTTGCCTTTCCTGCTCTCAGTTTCAGGTTTGGCATCAGGCTGTGCAAATAACTAAGGAATGGGAATCCTTGCTTTTGCAGCATAGGCAAATAGAAGGACAAGCAATTTCAAGGGTGAGGAGAAAGGTTTCACTGCAGTCAAGACTGTGTTGAATCTTGAATTCTTGAACCTAGAAAAATGCTGTTGGTGTTAGAAATCAGAACTGGGGTTTAACTACTCAGAGTTGAGCAGAAGATTAATGTTTCAGAGCTTCTGAATTGTTTCAGAGCTTTTGTCAGTTTAAAGATGAAATTATCATATGCTTTTTCTACCTTATTTTCTCAGCTGTTGAGTTTTAGTCAAGTTTCTGGTAATTGTTGCTTTCTAGTGATTTCTATCAAGTTATGAAAAATAATTTATTTTAACCATATATACAGGCCTGTAAAATACATTAAAAAAAAAATCCTACAGTCTGAGACAATTTTTGTCAAAGTCAGTGCAAATCTCAGTTTCTACAATAACTTTAAACTTGTGGAGGAAATTTCCACAGAAAAACCAGAAACAAATGTAGGTGCTACAAACACTTGCCAGCATTCTTTCTAACTACATCTAAATATAATTTTGTAAATTTACTTTTTTACCTAATTAATTGAAAAACAAAATTGATTGCGTTGGTAAAAAGATTTCAAAATTGCAATACTGATTTAGGCATTAGATCCCCGGCAGCAAGAATCTATCCATCACTTTTCTCTCAGAACTGCATACGCAGAATAATTGTGCAGACCTCCGGGTTATTTCCACTCGTGCGCTTGTACACCGAAGTATCTGTCGATTTACCGAAGATTCTGGTATTTTGTTTTATTAGTCGGTGGTTAGTGGTTTTTGCTGGCCCTCAGCCCCTGACCGCGGGACCTGTGCTGCCCGGTGCCCGCTGCAGCCGCTTCCTCACGCCGGGAATCTCACCGACACCCAGCAGGCCGATGTGGGGCGGCGCTGGGCGGGCGCTCTCGCACACACACGCGGCGCACGGCCCTTCCAGCCGGGGCCCGCGGCCCGAGCCCGCTCTCGCACACACACGCGGCGCACGGCCCTTCCAGCCGGGGCCCGGCAGCCCGAGGCCGCCCTCGCTCTGAGCGCCCCGCGCCGGCAGAGCCTCGGCGCTCCCTGCGCGTGCGCCGGCGGGGCCGCGCCGCTGCCCGGTTAGTGACGCGGCGCCGGGGACTCCCGCCGCGAGGGCGGGGCGGGCGCGCTCTGGGGATTCCCCGTCCCGCGCCGAACGTTCGGGATGGTTCCCGTGACGTCACGGAGGGGGCGGTACGGGGGAGCCTCGCCCGCTCCTCCCCGGGCTCCCGCGCGGGGGCTCTCGCGGAGCTTGCGCTTGCCCGCGGAGAGCACTGCGGCTCTGAGCGGCGCCATTTTGAGGGAGCGAGGCGAGCGCGCGGTGTGTGCGCGCGCGCGCGCGCGGGGTCGGGGGCGTGGGGGTGTGCATTCAGAACGCCCCGGGACAGCCCCGGGAACGGGCATGTGGGGAACGCGGAGCAGCCGGGCCGCCACTCTCCTTCCCCCGCTGTGCAGCCCGGACCGCCCTCGGGGACCGCAGGGGGAGCCGCCCCCGGCGGCGGGAGCAGGGCGGCCGCCGGGAGGGCAGAGGACGTGCACCCCGAGAGCCGGGGTTCTGCGTGTCCGCACACCCCGGAGCGGGCGGTCTGTGTCCGCACGCCCCGGGAGCTGAGTCTGTCTGTCCCCACACCCCGGGGAAAGGAAGCATGCCCCGGGCCGCGCTGGGGCTCCTTCGGCGGCTCCCGCCGCCCCTCCGGGGAATGTCCCTGGCGCAGGTCAGCGCTTCCCGCCGGGATGCCTTCTGTACATCTGTTCAGCTTTCCCAATAAAGCCAAACATGACCCTTCCTTTCCCTGTTTTCCCCCGCAACTCTTCCAGCCCCCACTCCCTGTCCGCCGTCGCTGCCCGCAGTGTTTTCCTGCCGGGCTTGAGCGGCGGGAGGAGGGTTTCGCTGATAGGCTGCGCCCGCCGTCAAACACTGCTGCCGCCCTCTCCGCGCCGCCCGCGGAGGAGCAGCCGCGGCTTCCGCTCGGCGCTCGGCTCCCTGCCTGCTTCCGTGCTTGTCTCTGGCATCCAGGTTTCTGTTTGTTTCTCTTTTTAAGATTCGGGCGTTTGGGTTTTGTTTGTTTTGTGTTTGTCTAACGCCAGTCCGGATTTCATAAGGGAAAACTGATTTTTCTGGTTCTTTTTATCTTAGGTTGCTTGAACGATAGAGTCAGTCCTGGATGTTTGCAGCCTTTTGCTTCAGCTGGCAGAGAAGAAAAAAGGTGGACACAGACTTGCAGCAGTTGCTTCCTGTGAAAGGGAGGAAATATCGGATACTATTCTGGGATAATTTGTGCGTGCTTTGTCCTGAAAAGGCCTCTGAAACAAGCAGTAGACATCGGGGAAGAGAATTGAGGAAATAGTGAGGTCTTTTTCTTCTAGCAGTGTTGAGCACATCACCCTTGGATCTTTTGTCCGCATGGAATGGATACATAGCTAAATTTATGAAGTTCTGAATACTTCAGCTGCCAAAATAAAGCGCTTTCCTCTTTTTACATACTCTTTTTCTTCTCTGCAACATCCTTTCTGAGTCAGAGGTTTAACCAGCTTTGTTAACTGGTTCCAGGTTAAATGTGGCCTGAGTCACTGTGGGGACATTGCTGAAAAGTTTCATGGCAGATTTTTTCCCCTCATTTTTTCATTTTTTAGATTTTCTGACATAGTCTTCTCTCATTTTGCAGTGAGACCGATTTTATAAATGAAGATTTTAGTAGATGTTTGTTTATACTTTTTTCTTTTGTATTTTATTTACTGTTTTTGTTGAAAAATGTTGTTGCCCATAAGCAGTATGGAGGTATCCAGATAACTGTTTATAAATGCCTCTGCTGCCGGAAGGTAGGAAATGCTCTTCAGTTCATATGTGAAATTTGGGTTTTTGACATCATAGTTTGTGGAGTAAAACCTGTGTTTATTTCACTTGGAGCTGATGCTGCATATACTGATATCTACATGGAATAGACAAGAGAAGAAACTGTCAGAGAAAATAAAAGGTTTTTAAGACAGACATTGGCTGACTTTGTAAATAGCCTTGCAGAATCTGTAAGCGAGAAGGATGGGTAGCTGATTTCTGTGAGGTCAGATCTATGTCCAGCTGCCACGAATGTAGTACCAACAGGAACTCGGGGTATTATCTCAAGGAAAACAAACTGGAAAAATATAAATCACGCTGTACTAGCACCTTGTGCGGTCCTCTTGGATTAGGTAAGTGTTGTAGTGCTTATAAATCATTTTACACTTGAAAAAACATTTTATCAGTAGAACAGTTAAACCTGTCGTTTTTACTGGTTAGAGGTTCTTTGTTGTTGTTGTGCTTTTTTTTTTTTTCTTTTTGAGAATGTTGAATCATGTTAATTTTTACATGCTGGCTTTTATAATTAATGGAATAATTCCTTAAGAATTTGAAGAATACAGGTACAAGTAGAAACGTGTAGATAAGAGTATGATTTTTATGTGAGATTAAAAAGTAGCTATGTCTAGACTAAATCCATAAGGAATTCAGCCTTCATGTTAATGTTGTAATCTCAACAGTGAATGTTATATTCTCTTGACCAAGTCTTCTGCATAGCTTGCGTGTGTCATTCCTTCCATTTGTGTTAGATGTGTTTACAGCATCAGGGTACTAATAATATAGAGGGGGTTTTTACTCTTTTACTTTTCTTTCCACGATTCTTTGTCACATATGGAAGCCAGAGAGTTTTTTTACCAAAAATTATTTTAGTGACTGTGCAGACTAGCTTTTTTCTGTGTTGATAGTATAAGATTGACTTCAGTATATTTTCCTGTTCTGTAATGGGAATGAATTAGACTGACTGGTCTGCAAGTATAATACTTCAAAAAAAGCTCCTTCTCCTTGGAGTGATTCAAAATTAAATCTAGTGGTGAATTGGCTTATCTTCCTTGTTATTTTTAGATGTATTGTAGTTTTATTCATCCCACAGTGATTAAATATTTTTTAATTTTGGCATTAATGTGTTTGTAATAATTTTTTGTAGGTTTGCATTCAACAGAACTGCTGCTGCCTGAAACAAAAATTAAGATGGACAGAGCTACTTAATTCAAAAGTCAGTGGTAATTTTACTGAAGTTCTCCATCCCCTACCCCACCCTGATGAATCATGAGGCTTTAAATAATTAAAGCATTAATGGGTAGACTTTAAACTGAGCGTCTGGTAGATGTTACACATTTACCTGAGTTGTCACCTTCTAAAATAGTTTTGAGAGCATCTACAGTACTGAAGTGTTAGGAGTAGTGAACTAATGAAAAAAAGGTTTTCTCTAAGGGCAGTGCAAAGATATTTGGGAAGATTGTATGTGTTAAAACCTTGTAGAAAAAGTGTAGTTGAGCATGTGAAACTGTATTTTAAAATTACTGCAGTGTATTTTCACTCCTGTTGCTTGTTATATTGACCACAAATGAAGGACTTGCATGTACATAAATTTTGTAAATTCTGAGTCTGATTTAAGTTCTTATCTGTATGTTGTCAGTATCTAAAAGTTGAACTAGCTTCAGTTTTTTGCTTTGGATGGTCTTGCTGCTTTGTTACTTTAATTTCTGTTTCAGTTTTGTTGTTTTGAAAGTATGGAAACTATGGAGCATGAGTAGGGACCTGTTGCTGTAATCTCTGGCTATGGCTTGTGGCTCTTCGGTATTGAGTCAAGGTGTGGCTGGCGTTGACTGGTGAGCTGAGCCACTTGTTAAAGAACCGAACCAATGGAAAAGAATGATCTTGTATATTCCTTTACTTGTATGAGTATGATTTTTTGGAAAGCATTTGGTAGATGGAGAGTTCTGGTATGACTGGCCATTTCATTTGTTGTCTCTTGTATGCACATGAGAGTAATAGAAATATTCACTTCTTAAGTCACAGAAAAAATGACGTGTTGCCTGTTTTTCCAAGGTATTGTCAGTGCTGAGATACTTTTATTTATTTTCAAGATGCTCTCACTGAAATCAAGGAGCTACATCCCCCTCTTATTATTTTGGGTGACATCTTTTTCTAGACTCTTCTCCTTCTGGAAGTTTTGAGGAATTGCTTTTTAGCTTCATTAAATTAATTCTATCTTTGCACCTCTTTGTTTGCTGGTAGGATAATTATTTTATCCTTTCACAGTACTTACACTTGGGAGGGTGTAGTGTTCTACACTTAAGGGGAAAGGAGCACCCAAGATTCATAAATGCTTGTGGTTGAAAGGGACCACAAAAGTTGGAGGGTCCACAAAAAATCACCAGGTTTTTTACATCACTTGCTCACTTGGCATTGAAATGGGTGTCAGTCCCTGGCCTACTATATAAGCCACAGCTTACATAGTAGAGATGGGGTATAAGGGAAGAGATAAATTAAGGAGAGGGAGAGAGAGAAAAAGGAAAAAAGAGAGAAAGAGATCACCAGCCCTGATTCCTAGTGTTGGTCTGGCTATGGGATGTGCAGGCAGGGCTTGGTGGGGTACCTTTTTATGGATAGTTTCCTTGTCCTGAAGCTAAAGTTTTCATTTTCTATGTAGATGAGTTATCTTGCATGGTCCATTCTTTGAGGCCTTTCTGGAAATGGCTTGGAGGGTTTTGGGGTATCCCTGGTGATCTCATTATCCCCTTATTGCATTGGGCTTTGGTCAACAGTTCATGCTCGCTCCTGTGCTGGTGCTGTCTTTTGTTTTTTATGTCTCCATGGACTAGAATGAGGATGTTTGTCCCAGAAGAGTGCTGTCCTACCTTCTCCAGCCACATCCCGTTTACCACAAACTGTTGGTTGGCTCTGCAGTTATCCAGCTATTGGTGCTTGAGATGTACACATTAGCCCCTTATCTTCAGGGATACTATAGGAGTGTATTTTTTCCCTATTTGTGCACGTATGTGTTTAACAAGGGTTCAGGAATGTTTTACAGCTGTGCCCTTGTACCCTAAACAAAATTCGTACCTGCTTGTTAGGAATGAGAAGCTTGACTAGGCCAATATTTAAGCAGCTGTCAATTTATTAATTTATATGGTAAAGTATGAGCAATACAGCGCTGGGTACAGCGGGGGAAATTTTCCCTCCAACTGCACGCCAATAGTTGGGGCTTACAGATATTTATAGGGGTACTCCTTAGCTAGAAGCAGAAGGTTCCTGTCAAATAGCAACATCTTTAAAGCTTTAATTTGAATGCTACTAAATCAACTTAAGACTTATAAAGGTTAATTGCAAACTAAGGATAGGTTCAAAGGCCTTCTTCCATGCTTTACTTCCTCAGTTATTTATTAGAATTGTCTTTATAACTGTCTCATGGTCAGTTTCCACACATATCACAGTCACAGATACGCATGTTGCCTGTATGTATCTGACACGAAACACAGCTTTGTATTTCACACTACTGAGGAGAGAATGCCAAGCATGCTGGTCCACTTTAATTTCTTCCCTAGATTTTTGTTTTTCAAGTGCTTGCATTCTGTTAAATGCTTTGCAGACAACTGTGAAGATAATGTCCTTGCTCCCAAGATCTTATACTTTAAACTTTCATGTAAACATAATATAATGGGATAACTGTCAGTAGGTTGTGTCTTTACTGATGTGTTTGTTCTGGTAGGTTCATAAAATGGGTACATTTGTACTGGCTAATTCTCCAGAATAGTGCAGGTTTCTCTATTGTGTGAAAAAACTGTTGGTAGAAACTTTTGAGGATAAGTACACTTTAATCCTGCAGCGAAGCCGAAACGGAATTACATCGGTAAAGTGATAGAGGCAAATTGTGCAGATATTTATGTTGTACAAGTTAATGTACTTTGTGCCCCTTTTATTTTTATTCTGATGAGGTTATTCTGTTTAACTTGTGTGGATAGAACTGTTGCAGTGACAGTTCATCATGATATCTGAGGAAGTTGCTTTTATTTCCTTTTTTTTAGTAGTAGGAATAAATTCTGTCCTGCAAAGACAACTATTTGCAGACCTTAGTATACAGACATGAACAAAACTTGTCACACTTCTTGTTTTGTTTTTTCTTACTCTGTGTTTGAGTAACTGAATGTGGTACCTGATGATAATGCCCTATGTGGTGCTATCAACTCTTCCACGGTCTCCTCCTTTCGTGTCTTCGGTAGACATAGTCAGGGAAACAGCTGAAATAAGAAGTTATCTGCTTTATATGCTCAGTGTAGGGCAAAACTTCTGTCTTTATCAACTGCTACTTCTTTCTTATGACAATTCCCAAGTGCTGAAGAATTCCTGGTGATTTCCTACATAACATATGCTGACTAGGGCAGTGATGTAATTCAACTCACACTTTGGCTTTTGAATTTGAACCTTGTCAAAGGGCAAGAAACGAGCATCTATGAGGCTTTTGCTAAATGGTCAGTACCATTTAGTGGAATCATCAGACACCCAAGTGTGTTAGTTTCTCAAGGAAATGAAACCTGGCTGTAGTGAATTGAAGTTACTCAGTTGAACCTGCCTGTAAACGTGAAGTTATTTCATGTTATGAAATAGCTTGCATTTTAAAAAAAAATCTATGTTTCAGTACAGTGCAAAAACAGAAACTTTTTTTTTGTTAAAAAGTCATCATTATGTTATCCAAAGGACTGAGCAGCTTCATCTGTATCTAAAACACTTCTTAAAAGGTGTTTTGATTGTTGTGACATTTATATTTGATTCACAGAGGTAATGTTAAAACCTGTTGCTTATGAATTATAACTGTACATAGAAAAGCGGACCATATGCTAAAAAGCAGTGCTCATGTTCTAGATCCATATGCAAAACACAGTGTGCTTTAGCTGATTCATTCTCCCATAAGGAACTTGAGCACAAAGTAGAAATGAAGGTGGATTTTTTCTTGTTGGGTTTTCTATATTTTTGCTAAGTCTCTGTAAAGGTAAGTATTAAATCTGTGGCTGTACTAAAGGATATGTTGGCTTTAATTGGTTAAAAAACAGACTGCTATATTTTGACTCTGCATACTCCTCGTACGTAAGTGTCAGTGCTCATATCTAGCAAAGGACCTTGCTCCTTCCCTAGTGCTCTGCAGGAAACCTTAGTTTCTATACTTCTTTTTAAAACATGAGGCAAGAAGGTAAATTTTAAATTGTATGGATAACTTCTTTTGTTCTTCTGTATTGTCCAGTGGTAGAATATATATGAGGACAGTTCTGTATGGATGGTGGGAATATCAAAACTAAAACTAGAGGTTTTGCTTGCTCTGCAGTAGCATGATTGAGAAATTAGAGGCTACAGTGGAACTGTTTCAGAGGTTTTTTTTAATTGGTGGGAGAGACCTTCAAAAGTTCAGCTCCCTTTCCTTTCTGTTGAAGGTACGAGTCTTAGGCAATAAATTTTAGAGTACCAAAAAACTAGAGGGAATTACCATACTCAGGCGTAATCTTTTTTAAAAATAGTTTTTCGTTGATATGCCACAAAGGATGACATGATACTCTTTCCCTTCAGAGAGTTAAAAGTTTGACTGTAAAGATGTAAACTTATTCTATTGTTGTGGCTGTTCACTTACACAGAGAGGAAAGAAAGAAAGGGAATCTTCAGTTGAAGTTTTTGTCATGCTTTTGCCGCAATTTATGATCGGTAGAAATGCTTCCAGTTTCAAAAACTTATAAAGCTTGTGTAAGGGTTTGGATATTCTTTTGTTTTAGTGACATACAAATTTTGAATAGCAAAATGACTTGAAATTAACTTACGTTGATTTGTTGGATCTACATGAATCACAGAATAGTAAGAAGAGAGTGAATAAACTTGGGGAATGAAAATTGAGATTTACAGATTTTAAATAAAAGTATTGTTTAGACCTTACATTTAGCAACTTGATTTCAGATTAGTGCTATTCTTAACTAGAGATAACAGGGAGGGATAACAGAGAAGGATCTGCTATCACAGGAAATTTTTCTTTTGACAGAAGATGTTTTATGGCAGAATTAAAAACTTGTGGTGGCGGGGGTTACTTTGAAGATCTGCTTAGTATGAAAAAAGTCCTGAATGATCCTGTATGTGAAGAAAGTGTAGGCTGATGGCCAGTGTACCATCTTGTGGGTGTAGTTTCTTTGCCTAATTCAGACCAATAATTGGTAGTTTTCCTTTGGCTAATGATAAAGAG